TCCCGAGCTGCGTGTTACGACGGTTTTCATCTTCGATAAGTAGATTGCTTAGTCCCTCGACTGCTTTGTACTTTTGCTAAGCTGTTTTCTAATTTACTGATTGCCTTCCTTTGCTTTTGTAGATTCGGAATTTGGCTCAACTCCCAAGACTTCTCCAGATATGAAGAAGGTGCATGTTGCACTAGGTATCCATTCTGAGTACCGTGAGTGGCGTTGGGTACTTAGTCCCTTTCACTGGGAGAAAAGTAGGATGCCTCTGAGAGAGGAGATAAAATGGATCAAGGCAGAAACACTAGCCTATTTGTTGCCATTGTAGAGCCCACTGTGAATGAAGGTGGGAAAAAAAGATCTTCCCCGCTTGCTCAAGAGATGTCGGCTGAGAAAAAGCCAAAGACTTCTTTCGTTGCTCGCGAAGGTTCACCATATGCCTCCAGGCTTGTGATTGACTTGACTTCTTCTAAAGGGGATAAAGACGAGGCTGCTAGATATGAGCCATTAACGCATGTCGTTCCAAAAGTGGCTAGTTCGATTGCTGATAAGATTGCTCAACGTAGAGGTTTCGTCGTGCCCCCAGTGCCAAAATTTATGCCAAAACATCTGTTGAGGGTTAAGTGTGGTTCACCTTTGGAGAGACTTGCTACTATAAAGAGCGATAAAGGGGACTTTACTACTAAAGTAGTGCCAAAACCAACTCCCCTCACTGCTAAGACTGATTCGCCTACTAAGAAAAATGAGACTCCCTACGTGGGCAGTTGTGAGAAATCCACCAAGTCTGTTTCTGGGGAGGCTACTAAGATTTGTGCACTATTGAAACCGAATCTGCTTGAAGACATTGACGTGTGTGCCAAGTTTGTTGATGGTGTTAAAGGAGTTGTATGCCCAAGTTCCTTTGCGAAGCATACGACCGAATATAGGATGACTGCTTTGCTTGCTATGATGCAGAAAATGGTGATTATGGCAGCCGAGTTAATGCTCCTTGACCAAGAAGATACCAACACTGCCAAGGGGATGGTAAAGATTATGGCAGCCAAGGCTTACTTTTTGGCCGAAAAGATCAAGAGCTTGGAATCTGATCTCATCGTTTTGAATGGGTCTAATATCTTTGCCCCCACTTTTCTGCAACTTGAGACCACTCGCCAAGAGATCATTGATTTGAAGACTAGGCTTGACGGGACCCAAGTTAAGTATGAAAGTGCAGAGAAGGAGATTGGTTGTTACATACCTCAAATTCAAGATCTTGAGCATGTCATCTCAGAATTTCGTTCCGTTGCTTATGCAAAGGATAAAGAGTTTATTTCTGCTTATAATCAAGTGATCCACTTAAAGAAGGTCATTAATAGACTGAAACCCCAAGTGTTGGAAATCCAAGATGTATTGAAGATCAACGAAAGTCTAAAGAAAGAAGTGGATAAGTTGCAGCGTGTTTGTGTTGATCTGCTCGAAGAGAATGAACAGTTGAAGAGTGAGAAAGATGGGCTCGAGACTTTGCTTGTTCAAAGTTAGGCCGATTTCTACAAGCTGGGTTATGTAGATCATCTCTTCAGTAGGCCGTTTGACTTTGAGTTTGCTGGGAAAGACTTCGAGACCTTCTCTATTTCTTCGAAATGCTTGCTTGCCTTTACTTTTGTGGCTTCCATTGGTGAAGTTGTTGGAGAAGTTGGTGCCCGGATTAGGGCTACCAAGGGTGAAGCACCGGATGATGCCGCTATTGAGAGCGTCGCGGCTGTTTAAGGTATGGGGACTGAGTAGTCATGGGATGTCCAAGCTGCTAAAGAGTAGTCTTCTAGGTAGTCTTTAGGATTTTCTTAATTTTCCTTGTTGCATTTTTCTTTGCTTGAACTCCTTTGGTTTTTTCTAGTTGTTTATCAATTTTGCTAGAAAATTTAATAAACTTGCTTTCTTCGCTTTTCTTCATCTTCACTTCTTTTGTTTTCGCCCAACCTTAGACTTTTTAAACCAGCGGCATGTGTGCTACTTTTCTATAAGTAGACATGCCCGCATAGCCTATGCAGTTGCAGGTGTTGGTGTAGAACTTTTGCAGAGTTGTTAGCCATAGGGTCGGCAGCTAGACATCTTACTTACAGAAACAGACGAGTCTGCTTGACCACTTGGCTGTTAACCTTGGCTTTCTTCAATCCTTTGAGTTGTTTGGCCTGTATCACAACATACTAAAGATTTTTTGGGTCATGAAATTCGCTAACCTTTCGTATCAAAAGTACGCGGTTGTATGGAATTTCATAAGTAAAGGTCCGAGGGAACTCCTTGCTTTTATGTAACCAAATTATATGGGTTGCGTAGCAAGTATCACAACATTTTAGAAATTAGTGTAGATCTTTAAATGATCATTCCACGCTTTGGCAGAGGTGAAGCTTATCAACTGTGTAGCATGTTGGCAGTGGATAAAGCCTCATATATGCACACTCACTTGTTTAACCTTTCACAAAAACGTGCGGTTGTATAAGTTGAGCACGACTTACTGCTTGAAGGGCAAGTCGTAGGCAGTCTTCTGGAAACCGTAGGCTACCTTAGTGCACTCAGTAGTAGCTTTAGAGTTCCAGGGCAGTCGTTCATAGGGTGTACTGCGTAATGTGCCTCCTCTGTCTCTGAGGCCCGGTTCCCTACGAACTAGGCCAAGAGACCCAAAATTCTTCAGTTAGCTAAGCCTTGAAAAAGACCATCATGGCTACTTCTAGGAATCCCGACGTAAGCCATCGTGCACCTAGTTATACCAGGCCAACCCGACTCATCCACGTCTGGATATTCGGAGTGTAAAGTTTATCATCCCGCATTGGAGAGCAGACCCATGTGGGTGTCGGGGAATTGGTTTACCCTCTTACACTGGAGAGCATGGTTGGTCCCTAAGGGGGCACAATTCTTGCGATAAGTCCCTAAGGAGGACGCGACCTTCTTTTGAAATACAGGTGTGATCAGTTGTTGTAAGCATGCAGTCGAGCGAAGTTGTAATTTACTTCTGAATTCCTCATTGAAAAACGAGTGAAACAAATGAAAACTTAGTTGTAAAGTAAAAACTGCATAACAACTGGATAGTCCTCGGCTTGCAAGGTGGTACCCGTCGAGCTGCTTGAGTCTTCGGGCTATGATGTAGCGGGAGGTCACGTATGGTAGTTCCTCATATTGTAGGCATTCCACTGCTTTTCGATCTCTTTGTCATTCATGGTGGCGAGCATGTTACTACCCTTGCTACCTACTCTACTAATCTTGTACGGAGGATCCATCTTCTTGGAGCCTTCTCTACGGGCAGTGATGAAGGCTTTTCTTAGGACTAGATCCCAGAGCTGGAACTGCCGGATCTTGGCCCTTTTGTTATAGCTCGAGAGGAGCTGCTGCTGGTAAGCTGCAATGCGGGTGATGACCTTCTTGCATTCCTCCTCTACTAGATCTAGATTTGTGGCCAAAGTTAAGGTATGAGTGTGTTATGGGATCCAAAGTTAAGGTATGAGTGTATTATGGGATCCAAAGTTAAAGGTGTTAAAATGTGAGGTATGAGTTAAAATGTAATATACCCTTACTATTTAACCAGTCAAATGAAATAGTTGGTACCACAACTAGGGATGGGCAACGGTTATGGCAGACGGGTAACCGCGATTATTTACCCATAACCATTTCTGTTTATACCTGCATAACCGTTTACCAGTTGGGTAATTGCATAAACGGTTATACCCCGGTTAACCATACTCATAACCATGTACCAATTTAACCATAACCATTTACCCGTTTACCCGTTTTTGAACCTGTTTATCTTTTTTTACCCATTTACCGCTTTTTTCACCCATCTACATGTTTTTTTTTTAACAACTTGAAAATTACAAAAGAAAAATTTATCATAATTTTCGTTTTCTGACAATTAAACACCGTTATAAGTACATTTTAGCTTGCATTTCCCTATTTTAATCATTTAAGTCCTCTTACAATTCCAATAATTGAAATAATAGTTTACGAATGATATTTTTTAGCTACACCCAAGCAAATCTTTAATTTCAAGACCGATTCCAACCAAAATTTTGAGAATCCCGAAATAGTTTCGAAATTTTGCAAAAAATTGGAAATCCTGAAATTGCTGACTATAACTCAACCATGGATCCATTCTACAGAAGTTTATCTGGTGGATACCACCGTACTAGTAAAATGACAAATACATTCATCATTCAATATTGCAGAAAGCATTTTTTTCAGTACATTGCCAGGAAATATACTAGGCAACACAAAGCATCAAACTTCTTCCAGCTTTAGAAACATATAAACACGAGAAGAAAAAAAAACTATCAGATATGAATTCAACCACATAACTTCGATGTTAAATTAAATGGGTATAACCAATCCAACGGCCTATAATTTTTTTTTTTAAATTTTACATATATTAAATTAAATGGGTAAATGGATATCCGTTATAATCGCGGGTAATACCCATAACCAGTGGCAAAGCTAGAATTTCTCGGGGTGAGGGGCAAACTTAAAAGAATCCAATGTTAAAGAAAAATGGCAACAACTAAATCTTTTTATATAGTAATGTCTTCCATAATTAATCAATACAAACAAATTATAATTGTTGCCGGTGATGTTTCATATCATGAAAACGTTGCATAATAGGCTCATTATTAATAAAAGAAAATACATCTCTCTCAATGTAAACAATCATGCTATCACTCAACCATCGATCTCCCATTTTGTTACGCAATGGTGTTTTCACAATCTTCATAGCAGAAAAAACTCTCTCCACCAAAGTGGTTCAATTGATAACACCAAAGCCAATGTAAGAAGCTTATACACTAACATATAACTTTCACACCTCTCGGTCTTCACTAACTCTTTTGCAAGATCACTAATTCCTCTCAATGATGAAAACTCACTATGCATCTTCATATCATGAATGTAATTGTCAAGTTGAATTGGAAGATTCATGAGGTCTATACGATCAAAATCTTGAAGATAAAGTTGGGCTAAACGAACAATTTTTGCTTTGTCAAAAGATGCAAAATTATTCACCAGACTCCCATAAAAAGAAGCAACTTGGTGTTTACCTCATTGAAGTGATCATTCAATTCATTTAGTTGCATATCAAGGACTTGAAAATAGAGGTCCACACAATAGTAATCGAAGTTTGTGATTTTTGGAGCTTTATGCCTTGATTTTTCAGGTACGAAATGCAAATCCTCCATGTTAGGAACGATAATATCATGCTCCTCACAAAACTTTTCTACATCATGAAACAAGTCCCCAATGTCATCATTTTTCAAAGATTGTAGTCTTTGCTTGCATACTTCCACCAACGCCATCGCATTCACAATATCTTGATCTTTCTTTTGCAATGTTTGTGATAACTCATTTGTAATTCCAAATATAAGTCTTATCAAGAAAAAGTGGAACACAAAATCAAAAGTTTGTATGTCTTTGAATAACCTAGTTGCTTTACTGAGATTATCTTGGTTGCGATCACTTTTAATCCATTCAACCACCTCCACCACAACTTCAAACATAACAATAATACTAACTATAGTACCATAATGCGAGTTCCACCGTATATCACATGGACGCATGAGACTACTTTCTTGATCTAACCTTTTACCCGTTTCAAGATTACCAAGATCAAGAGCTTTCTGAATTTGTTCTTGTTGTTTCTCTCTAAATGCATCACGACGCTTACACGATGATCCAATAAGATTCACCAAACTACTAGCATTGATGAAGAAATTGGCAACATCCACATTTTCCTTTGCCACGAATACAAGAGCTAGTTGGAGTTGGTGTGCAAAACAATGAAAATAAAATGTTTGAGGGTATTTGTTCAAAATCTTTGTTTTAAGACCATTTAACTCACCTTTCATATTACTAGATCTATCATAGCCTTGTCCTCGTAACTTGGACATACTCAAATTTGTTGTAGCAAACAATCTCTCAATGGCCTCTTCAAGCGAGCTACTAGTTGTAGAGGAGACATGTTGAACACCCAAAAACTTTTCAATTGCTTCTCCTTTTTTGTTCACATAACGCAATACCATTGCTATTTGCTCTTTAGTTGAAGAATCACGTGCTCCATCAACCAAAAGAGAAAAAAATGCACCTTCCATATCTTTAGTGATTGCATCTACAATTTCAATGGCACAAGCACGAACAAGATCTTTTTGAATATCAGAAGAAGTATACTTAAGATTCTTGGGAGCGTTCTCAAACACAACGTTCCTAACTTGTTCATTATGCTTGGAAAGAAATTGCATAAGCTCCAAATAATTACCCCTATTGCTTGATTTCAACGATTCATCGTGGCCACGAAAAGGCAAGCCTTGTCCCAACAACCATCTTGTGCACTCAAGTGAGGCACTCAATAAAGTACGATAATTAATGCAAGCTTCATCAGTTTGCTTAATCACAAATGTTTCAATGTGTTGTTTTTGTGTCATCAAATCTCTAGCTTGTTGTACAACTTTTTTATAAAGACTTCCAACACCTCCCTCATGGACTCGAAGATTTTCGGGTCCTTTCCTCCAATTTGTAAACCCTATCTCAGTGAAGACATCACTTCCAGTGCTACCCATTTGATCAAAATCACATTTGAAAAGATAACAATAAATGCAAAATGCAGCATTTTTTGATACTATACTCCAACCACTTAAACTTATCAAACCAACCGATTATAAAGCATCAATTGTCGCTAACCTTTATTGGCATGATGTGGTCTCTAGGCTGACAAGGATCAATTTGGAGATAGTGTCTACGAATTGCTTCTTGATAATTAGGTGAATAATCAAGCATTCAACGTTTATGTGCAGGGTCTACAGGAAGATTAGCCAATATTTCATCCAACTCGGTGGCCTCACTTTGTTGTGACCTACTTGGAATATTTGAAGAATGACTTCTTGGAATATTTGAAGGAGGAGGAGAACTACTCGGAATATTTGAAGAATATTTGAAGAATGACTTCTTGGAATATTTGAAGGAGAAGGACTACCCAAAATGTTTGAACGAGGATTTAAGTATTGTTTCTTATAGTATCGTTCTATTACGTAACTGTAAAATAGAAAGAAAAAAAAAATTAGACTCTTAATCCTAGAGTAGACTATACTATAGTATGCATAATAATTAATCCAACCAACCAACAATTCAATTAATCAATACCAATAATCATACAAATTATTCAATAAATAAAAATTCAATTCAACTAATAATATTCATATGAATACAACTAATCAATTCAACCATCAAGAATTCAAATTTTAATTTTCACCCAAAAAAATAATTTCATAATTTCATATCAATAATCATAGAAGCATATGATTCACATTAATAATTGTGGAGCCAAAAATAATCACAAGCAACACGTGGATTTTTGGATGAAGATGACAAATTTACCCTCGAGGCACACCGGGTCTCCTACACACGAGCAGTGGAGAATCATCCATCAACCAAATCAGGAGTACCCAAAATAGGTAACAAGTTCAAATTTGTCTCATCCATCCTTATTCCATAACCTCCAAAAACCTCCCAAAACATTTCTTTTATTATGATAATTAGCCAATTAATATATTTATACCTAACTAATATATTAATTACTAATTGAATCACCAAATAACACCCCAAAACACACTTAAAGGCCCGCCACACCCAATTCCCTATATATATGACCCTATTTCTTCTAAAAAGCTATGTTGATACTCTTGCAAAACTCCCAAAAATTCTCTAAACACTTTTTCTCTCTTTCTAACTTTGGCATCAGAGGTTTTTCTGCTAAAGCCCCCCCGTTCATCATGGGCGCGTGAGGTTCTTAGCCTTGACCAAAGGTATTAATTGTTTCGTAAGTGCAATTTTGTCCAAGAAGAAAAAGGTGGAAATTTGCATCCACAATAATCAATAACCAATAACCATATTAGTGCAATACCATATGATTCTATACTAATTAAACGAAATTCGTATTAAATAATTAATTAGGGTTAGGGATTATACATTTAGGAATTAAAAAATTTCCTTTGAAGGGTGGAAGCCTACGGTTCAGCAGTTGGAGAATGGCTTGTGACGACTCAACAGGAATCAGCCTAACATAAATAAAAGGGAACGGTTGGCGTTGGTTGGCTTAAGCTGCTGGGATTTTGGGAGCAGCTTTGTTCTCTCTGTCTCTAATTGGTGAACGGGACGGGAGGGATTGAAAAGTAAAGAGGAACGGGGGACACAAGGGGTGACATGTGGTCCCCCTTTATAATATATATATATATACACACACGATGCGTGCAGCAGAACAAATCGCCTAGCAAACAGAGGAGATGAACTAGTGGGTTTTCCGAAGAGGGGCGTGGCAGCTGTCACACCCCGCCCTCATGTGGCTTTGCCACTGTCCATAACCCATGGATACCCATTATAACCGCGGGTAATATATATAACCGCCCATTTAAATTTCACGGATAAACAGTTATACCCATAACCGTTTGTTCGTCTAAATGGTTACCCATAACTGTAACCGTGAACTTTAAATGGATGGATAACCGCTGTTACCCAAACCCATAGGTATTTTGCCTATCCCTAACCACAACCTTTTAAGCAAGGATATATATTGCTATTCAGTACTACAGTCTAGTGGTATTCTTATTCGTTTAGAAGTAAGAAGTTTTAAGTTCGAATTTTGTGGATGACGAATTCGATACCAAATTAGGATGCCCATTGTGTGGCTTAGCAGAACCCCCCTTCCCTAGTGTAAACATATCGATGTACTAAAAAAAAATATGAATATATGTGTAAAAGATCTTAAGTTCAAATCTCATAAATGACAAATTCAATACCAAATTAGGTTGCTAATTGTGTAGCTTAGCAGAATTCTTCATTCCCCTAGTGTAAAAATATCGATGTATTAAAAAAATAGGTGTAAAAATATCGATGTATTAAAAAAAATAGGAATATATGTTTAAATATATAATATAAGGAGGTGGATTGTCTACCCTCTCATTTCTATACTCTTCTCATCCCCTCCTATTTTGTGTGGTCACGGTTAAATCACGTTAACATTTTATATTCTTATTACTTTTTGTTTTATTATTTTTATAAAAAAAAATCAATATAAAATATTGACGTGACTTAACCGTGACCAAACAAACAGGAGGGGATAAGAAAAGTATGGAAATGAGCGGGCAGACAATCCACCTCCATAATATAATGATAATGTATATGTTAAGAAAGGAATCTTGCATGAGAAACCGATCCAAGTTGAAGAAAACTAAATACACGGTAGTTTAGTCAGTCTTTATTTCACTAATCAAATTAGCCTCAGTGGTTGATCTCCGCATTAACGAACTTTTGCAATGTTTTAGTATCTTTCGGAGATTTTTATATCTATCGAAATTTTTAATCGTTAAATTACTAGTTACATATTTAATATCAAAATTTAACGGCAAAAAAGCAGTCACTTACGAGGAAATTGAAAGGAAAAGGGACAGCAATTTCCATGAAAAATAATGCATTAGATATTCCAAAGCTTGGCATCGTTTTCTTTATTTGGTTTTATATAATCCGACCTCATTCGGAGAACCAAAGTGGTCACAACTTTCCACCATTTTTCCTTTTTTTTTAGCGAAAAATAAGTTACTACTTGAGAAGATATTCAGGGGTAATCTTATTAACCGCACCTGTTACATCTCTGTTCAGCCCCCACCACATCTCAGACTCGATTCAACCGTAATACGATATTGTTCGTTTTGGACCCCGACCACGCCCTCAAGGTTTTGTTTCTAGGAACTCACACGAGAACTTTCTAGTGTGTCACTCATCATGGGATTGCTCTCGCGCGAACTCGCTTAACTTCGAAGTTCCGATGGAACTCGAAGCCAGTGAGCTCCCAAAAGATCTCGTGCTAGGTAGAGATGGGAGTATACATATATAGTTTACATGATCTACTTCCCTGGGCGATGTGGGATGTTACAATTCATCCCCCTTAGGAGCCCGACGTCCTCGTCAGCACACATCCAACCAGGGATTAGCTCTGATACCAAATTGTCACATCCCAGCCCGGGGCCCCATCACATCCCGAGCTTGACTCCACCGTAGTACGATATTGTCAGCTTTTGGCCCCGACCACACCCTTACGATTTTGTTTCTGGGAACTCACACGAAAACTTCCCAGTAGGTCACCCATCATGGGATTGGTCTCGCGCGAACTCGCTTAACTTCGAAGTTCCAATAGAACTCGAAGCCAGTGAACTCCCAAAAGGCCTCGTGCTAGGTAGAGATGAGAATATACATATAAGGCTTACATGATCCACTCCCCTGGACGATGTGGGATGTTACAGCACCTTATAGTGGCTTCCTCAGATGAGATTTTTTTTTCTTCCTCTTTGTGAGAATTTCAGGAATTTTTATATTTTATTTATTCATCGTATATTAGGTGATCAACTTTCGTTAGGTACTGTTTATGTTTAATTTAAATAAAAATTTATAATAATTTCTTACGGTACAATATACAATGAATGGATAAATTGTGAGGATCCAGATAAGATCCAAGATCTGCTTACCTTGCACATGGTTATATAAAGCTAAACTTTGATGGGATCGGTGAATTGGAGAAAGTTGCGATGCTTTCGTTCTAAGGAATGAAAAGGGATTACTGGTTGGAGTTGGTGCTTTTAATCTCAAATGAGCTACTATTTTAGTTGCTGAGGCCATTACTTTAAAGGAGGGACTTTTGTTCATCAGACTCAAAGGTATGAAGAACTTAGGCCACATCGAACCGAAATGACTAAAGATAGCCCATCCAAAATTATGGCTTTACAAAAAAAAAATTTTGGATTAAACAGTATAGGCTGTACTCATATACCATCTTTAACCAAATAGGCTAAACATAGCCCATCAATATAATTTTAAGTTTATACTTTAAATTTATTAGTTCATTCTTTTGGGTGTTTACAAATCTAGTCGTTGAATTTGAAATCAATTATTGCAACTGAGGAGTTGGGCCAAAAAAAGGGCTACGAGGAGGCTACATTTTGCTAGCCTGATGCCTTGTAGGCTGTAGCAATGATCCTTCAACTTTAATTTAATTGAAGCAATGGCATCACCTGAAAATTCATGAGTATGAGTCCCTTAACTCATCAAAACGTGAAACTATGGTCATTTTTGTCAACTCTGTCAGAATTCCGTAAAAATGACTCATGTTAGAAGGGTTATTGCTATAATTTGGTTAAAGTTGAGGGATCATTGCTCCAATTAGATTAAAGTTGAGGGACAATTTCTTCAATTGAATTAAAATTAAGGGACATATGCTACAATTTTTTTTTCATTTGGTTTTTCATATTTTCCCCTTGATTTAGCCACTTGTGTGTGGCACATGACTTATTTTGAAGGAAATTCCAACGAAGTTGACAAAAATGATCATAGCTGTACATTTTGATGATGTAAGGGACCAATGATTATGAATTTTTAATTTATAGACCATTACTCTAATTGGATTAAAGTTAATGAACTATTTTTATAACCTAACACTCGATTGAAGATTAATTTTTTGGCTAAATCAAATTATTTTTTGGCTTTTAGGCGTTTTAACCTCTCCATTGGTGCTAAC